ATTCTTTTAAAGCACCCTAGACTCACCATTGTAGCTGTCAAATAGAAGCAATGGTATGTGAAAAGCACCTGGAATGGCGCCCTTCCCAAAGGGAAGAGTCAACACACATCAGACACACATACTAAGAGTAGTAGCCACAAAAGCAAATGGACCAAAGCTGCTCTGCCCCGGGGTCCTTGGGTCTCTATATTTACATGGAACCCCTTCCCATCAGATCTTCACTTCCTTGCAGCCGAGTGCATCTCAGTAACCTTGCACGGGCCCAGAATCTAGCAGACCTCCAAGGACACCAGCAAGATTATAAATTTTCCAGCCTCAATAGTCTACTTCCCATGTCTTCAACAGTGATCGATATGACTGATTATAAATTTACATTTAGGATAGAACCTGAAGCTGGGGGTGTAGTTCAGTTGGTAGAGAACTTGAATAGCATGTACAAAGCGTGGGTGTCGTCTCAGCATCACGTGAAACAGGCATGTTAACACAGTTAACACAGTTAACACAGTTAACACAGTTAACACAGACCTATGATCCCAGCACAAGGGGGCAGAAGAGGGAGGTCAGATGTTCAAAGACAGTCTAGGACATAAGAGAACATTGTTTAAAACAATGGTGGGAGGCAAAGAATGTCATATATATATATATTCCTTCCAGCATCTTCCCCCACCTCCTGGGCCTGCAGACACAGAACAGACAACTTTTGACTGATTTCAGCATGAGCTCTGTGGAACCGAGTCCCAGATTTTGTCATCCCAAGGCTCCCTGTGGAATCTGCTATTGCTGTGGCCGCTAGGAGGAACCTACTTAGTATTCCCTTGAGGATTTGACCGGGTCCATAGTCCAGGCTTTCTGAGTGGGTGGTCAGTAAATACCCTTATCTTCTACAATACAGAGGCAAACTGATCACCAAAATCCTTACAAAACTAATGGTCATGTTAAAGACAGCCGGTTATAGGCTGTTTGTCCCTCTGTTCCTTGGCAGGCAAAAGAAAAAGCTACATGTTGAGGGCTTGACATTCTAAGAGACATCTTTAGAGAGAAGGAAAACTAAGAAAAAGTAAGAAAGGTAAGGATGTAAGGATGGTGATGGCCACAGCAGATGCACTGGCCTCCCGCTCCACGGGAGACAGTTCTCAGGACTAACTTAATCCCCAATCGCTGTACAGTTTCCACCCCCTCAGGCCCCTAGGAATAGGCGCTGCCTCTGTCTACTGGAAGGCAGCTAGCTACTTCAGCCCTCATGGCATTACAGGACAAGTCCCATCAGAAACCCAGCAAGAACCTGTTATTTTGACATCAGTGAAGCTATTAGGAAATGACAACTCGGTGGCAAGAAGGTGGAGGCGGGCACTTGACAGGACAGGGAGATGTCTGGTTATCCCCAGGGAAGCCTGACTCCTGAGGGAGCTTGAGTGAGGCCCCTAGAGTGAGCTGCGTTTGGAGACTTTTCAGGATTCACACCCAAATCACACAAGATGAAAGAAAATACTGGGTAAAACCAAGCCAAACATGAAGTTTGGGGGAAAGATTTTATTGGACAAATTAGAAAAATATCGGTGCTGTGCTTTCGCGAAAGCCACTTCTTTCATCTGGCTGCAAGGGCAGGAGCAACCTCAGAGGCAGAAAGGAGGGAACCCGAGTTGTGTGAAGAGCACGCTCTCCGCCCTCCCCACGCCGGCCACAGCCGGTGCTCACATTCACCATGCTAATCCGCAGCCTTGGCCAGAACACAGGGGACGGTTCATTTATAATGGCTTCATTCTAAGTCTGGGCTTGAGAGGAGATGACTGGGCCTTGAGTCCATCAAAGAAGCTACCAGGAGCTGTCTGCGGCCAGCTGTGCTCCAAAGTCCGGTCCAGGCAGATCTATGCATGATAGACACCTGACTACTAGGACAGTGGAGGAGCCACTCAGAGGCCTCAAAAGGGACACTGAAAACAGTGACTGGAAGGAGCCCTTCACTGATTCTCTGAGGCCTGACTGCATGCTGGGAAGGCTGTCAGGAAGAGGGATAGAAAACACAAAGAACGAAGGAAAGAAACCAGGACACCTAAAGCTAGTGTAGCCACAGACACCTTACTGTGCAGTTTCTAGTCTTTGTCTCAATGTTAACTGAGACCCTTTCCCTATAGAAGGCCCACACAGAGCTACTTAACACAGATTTTTGTCTGTACTCTGGATTAGAATAGGCCAAAGATATTATTCGACAACAACAACAACAAAACCCCTCAAAAACAAGCAAATAAACAAAAGTCACGTGTGAGCATGAATACACATTGGACATTGCAGACACGTGTCGGGATCACCTCCTGAATAGTCCAAACGTGTTCTTCAGATGCAGGACTCACTGACACTATCCAGGCCTCGCGGTCCTTCACATGGCCAAGCCCAGATCAGCACAGATCAGCAGAGCCAAGGACAGAGGGGGTGCTTAGATACCTCCCACCTCCCTGTGACGTCCTGGAACCTGCTGCCCTGTGGGATTTCTCACTTGACATTCTCTGACAACAAAGCTGTGGTATACATATTATTAAAGCATCATCATCAGGGGAGGGTGATTCTCAGAAAGGTGCTGTTGATGTCATGGGTCATAGAGCTGGGATGAGGTAGGACTAGAGATGAAGATTAGCCTGGGTGAGGTGGCATGTCCTCCCCTTAGCAGGGTCAGTCTGTACTCTGCGGCCATATTTAGATAGGCTAATTTATGTCATCTCCAATGGCGACATCCCTTCTCCTAACCTCTCCTAAACATCTGATGGCCTCAGAGTCAGGAACAGTTGAGTGGGACAGATGGCCCATTGGTCTGGCCAATGTCTTTGTCATGAGTCAGTTGCAACAGATGCATCTGGTTTGTGTTTGGACAAGTGAGCTGTAGAGCGTTCCCTTAGATCACCTCCTATATGGAAAGCTGACCCTGGCTGTTGCTTCCAGGAAATCCACTCATCCCAGCATTTGACTAATGAGATGCATAGCAATGACTTGTGTGCTTGCAGAGTCACATGACCAGAGTCAGTGCTGTGAGGAGTAAGCCTGCTCCTCCAGACTTTCAGCTCCTTTCCCGGTAGACACAGATCCAACAAGAGGCTATTCGCTGTGTTGCCAGGAGACACAAATGGCTAGAGAGACCCTGGATACATGTGTAGAGGACAGCCATTCCCAGTGCTATAGAGAGAAGGAGACCACCATGGCAACTTCTGACACCTGACTTCACATCCTTCCTCCTTCAAAAGCCGGACAATAGGAAGCTATACTCCCTGGCAAAAGAGTCGGGTTTGATCATGTCATTGCCTCTGATCTGTTCTGGTTTGGAACATATAAGTACCAGGAGCCCATGTGCCACCACACCAAACCCACATGTACCCAATCTTCCCAATCATAAACCCCCCTTGACAGCTTGGGGTGGGTAATACAGTGAGTATTTTTAGACTCGGATATATCTTTAGACTTAGATGACTTTTTTAATCAGACATCCCCAAAATTCAGAGTTATAATTGCAATCAGCTAACCAGTTAATTCTGTCCTTTACACACACACACACACACACACACTCATTCATATAGGTAGGAATAATAATATGATATGCATATATACATTTATGTGTATACCTAAAATAAATTTACATTATATGTAGAGAGAGAGAGAGAGTTGCAATCAAACATTATATTCAGTCCCACCTAAAAAGAAGCATATGGGATTCATGATGTGGTCATGACTCCATTAATACCACGGTGATTAGAGTGAAGCTGGATGATGACGGGCTCTCCCATGGCCAGTTTCTAAACAATGATGCAAGTGAGAAGAGAATGGTTCCCACAGCGCTGGGCTAAGCAACACTTGCAGAGGTCTCTGATGCTATGTTCTAACTCTGAGGAAAGGGGCAGAGATTGCTGCTGTGGGAGGCACTGTGCATTTCCGTGCACGTTCAAGTGCGCTGCCAAGAGAATGGCCTACACATTCTCAACCCAGAAGGCTGTGTTCCTCTTAATACCCGTATCTTCTTTAAAATGAACTAAAGGCTCATAAATCCAAGTGGCTGTAATTCTTGCAGCACATTCTAAGTAGCCCAAAATGACAAGCAATGGCACCTTTCCTCTCAACACCTCTCTAGAATCCACAAGAGATACCATCAATGGACTGGAGCCTCTTTCTTCTTCTCTTTACTTTTTTTCTTCCTTTTTGCATCATGGTGGATCTAGTCTGCTCAAGGCAAGTCATCCCTTTGCACACATTATCTTTCTATTCTGAGACAGGGTCTCACTAAGTTTCCTTCATTGGCCTTAACTTGCAGAGCTCAGTCAAGGCTTCTCCTGCAGAGCCTGGCTGTCCTCTGGGAGATAGTCCTCATTATTTTCTGGAGGGTACACTAAGCAACCTCCTTATGAGGACCTCTTTTTACAACACAGACCATGAACTATCTTGGGTTGGCCTCGAGCCACTCTTGAAGAAAGTCAAAACAATGCTATTAGGTATGACTCAGACGCTAAAAAACAGAGAAAAATCTTAGCTGTTTCCATTTATGCAGAAAGGTGTTGAATAGCTTCTTTGGATACTGCATTTTGGCAACATAGTTGGGAGATAAATCCTAATGAAGTGGATTTTCAGAGATCTTGTATCTGATTTGTTCTATCAAAACAGATTTCCAGTAAGTGGATCTAGAGCATGAATTTTCATTATAATGGATTTCAAACTGTGTGGAGTTAAAGAAAAACTTCCAAAATTCCAAAATACCGATAGATTTCTAATTAAATGAATGTAGGCATTTATATGTGTGTGTGTATATATATATATACATATATATACACATATATGAATTTACATATAAGAACATAGCAGAAACTGATTTCTTCTTTATCACTGATACACTGTGCATCAAGATACTGGCTTGCGGCTATGCAAACAGCCTCCTTAACACCATGAACTGAGTGGTTTTCTAATGAAAACTGTCGCAAGGCGTCGTCAATATAGAGCTGAAGAAATGCAGGAAAGGATGTCCCTCTTACCAGTGGCCTGAGCTCAGGGTGCGTCAAGATGTATCCGTTATTCGTGATGGCGAAGGCATAACCGTGAATTCCTAGCTGTAAGAGGGAACCAAAAGAAACCTTCATTAGCTCACTCCCCGGCGGAGTCACAAAGCACAAAGCAGCCCGACCTGAGTAATTCACAGCTTAAACTTGGCATTCATAACCCTTATCAGCACAATATTTCATTAAAATGAATGCAAGGCGCTGATCCTTGACATTTGCTTGAAAGGTGGACCTGTCACACAGAAGCTCAGCAAACAGCACAATCTGAAATGTCATAGCCCTATACTGGCATCCTATGGCATTATTTTTATTTATTTAAAACAGAACAATTACTTTTTAGAAAAACTAACGGAGTCATGGATATTTCTAGACAGGGGAGCCTGTCGAAGCAAGCAAAACATTTGCGGCTGGGGCATTTTCTCCCTTATCAAGATAAGGAAAATGACCCTCATCCCACCTAGCTCCCTGGTTTCCTATTGTGTCTCACTCACAGCAGCCATTTCTAACCCTGCTGTCCTGCTCCGTCCTCTCCATAGTCCTTGAAGTGGAAGTGTCCCTAGCAGTCCTATGTGGGGCAGCCAGTCCCTCTGTAGCCTATCATTTTGATGGTGGCTGCCAAGTTTTTCCACACATCCTTCCATCCACACAAAGCCTGGACCATCCGCTATGCAGAGCCTCAGTTACGTTGTGTTTTCTGACTACATGGGACTATGGGAAATAGTTTGAGTGCAATGAAATGTTTTATTAGCTTTAAAAAGTATGTAATCAAATTTAACACTGCACTTATTTAAATAATAATCCCAGCTTTTTGACAATATTTCTATTACACACTTGACTGCACCCATTGGCTACAATAAATTTACCTACAAATCATTCATGTATTAAAATGGCCTCTGGCGTAAAACGCATACTGATCTCTCTCCCTTCCTCCCTCCTTCTCTCTCTCTCTCTCTCTAAAGAAAGATATTGTAATCCACATTGCCAGAACAGCGAGAGAGAGAGAGAGAGAGAAAGAGAGAGAGAGAGAGAGAGAGAGAGAGAGAGAGAGAGAGAGAGAGAGAGAGAGAAAAGAAAAAAGTCTCTATTTTCTGTCTGGGGGATCACTTCACAGTTCTGAACCCTTATTTATTCCTCCTTCAAATTCCCTGCCACTCACAGTCTTGAATATGATACTATTAAACGATCCAGACAACGGGGTTTACAAACCAGGAGTGACCCTGTCTGCTGGTTAGATTAACGTCAAGGTGATGTGCAATGAACTTCAGAGAATTACCACCAGCAATTAAAAGTTTCCGTTGCATTACATAAAGCAAATACGCCTGCGGTCGTCAAGGGCAACAGACGTTTCTCCCAGTCTTACCTTGCACAGCAAGCCTTAATAACATTGTACTTGACTCTAATGATAAAAGTATATTTCATTATGCCGGGAAAGATAAACCCAAGATTTCCTATCCTTTGAGATGTCTATCGTCTCTTTCATCTTGCCTCCTGGAAGAATGTCAGACAGTCAACACTGCATTAATTATCGTTATTAAGTCCTGGTTTAATATGGGTCAGGAAGGACTCTGGGAGATTGACTTCTTCCATTAAAGGCAAGAATGGGGTTTGCCTGGAAATTCAAACTCAGCATCAGACCAAACAAATGGTATTTTATAGTCAGCTAATGCAGCCAGTGTCTTCCAACCCAGCTGACTCTGCCTCTCCCTCTGCTGTGGGTCTTGAGAGAAGGGCGGTCTCCCTGTTCTGCTCTACCCTGGCATAGATCTTTATAACCGAGAGGCGTCATCTATGAGGGTATGACCGAGAGCCACGGCATCGATTTTTAAAAGTCTGCCTCTCTCCATCAGGTACAAGAGCCATGAGGGCAAAAGTCAGAGCATATGGTTAAAATGGCCAGAGGGGTGGATGGGATGGGGAACAGGCAGGGAACATGAAGAAAGAAGGAATATGAGGACAAGAGAAGGAGGAGGAAGAGGAGGATGAAGAGAAGGAGGAGGAAGAGAAAGAGAAATCGGCACAAGCTAAGCCTCCTTCGTGTTTCCTCCCTGGGAAAGCAAGGGGCTTGGCCTTTCCAGACCAGCATCCTCTCACTGGCCACCTGCTGTCTCTGTTGCCTATGGCCCACTTCTGCCTCATCCCTCTAGACATTAACGCTCCCCTCTCGCCAAACATTAGATGATCCCAGCCTCCCGAGAGCCCGAGTCTATGCGAGTCTCATTTTTGGGTCTCCTCGGCTGCCAGGCCCCACCCTTCCTTTCCTTACTCCTTTGTTATTTTTTAGGCAAGCCCTGGTTCTCCTTTAGACCCTGTCACCAGGGGGTCCTGCCCACCTTCACTCTACTCTCCATTTATGAACTTCAGCAACCCTGTCTTTTGTCACCCTAAGGGCTCTGCTTCCCTGAGCTCTTACACTGGAGACAGTCCACATACTCAATGGTGGCTCTTTAAGTTCTTTCTCTTCTTGCTTCTCTGGGTAGTTGGCACTAGGACCTCCCAGACTCCCCTCTCCCACAGTTAGATACAGAAGCATCTCCTTAGCGCGGTCCCTTTACCCACAACCCTCCAAACCAAATAATCATGACATGTTTTCTCTATGACATTCCTCAGACGCAAGCCTGCCTCTTCGTACTCTCATTGTTATATTGCTTCAGTTTCCAAAAATGGTCCTAGCCAACCTCTAGGCCCCAAAGGCAGAACAGTGTGAAAGGCAATTCCAGTCACATCCTGTGGAGGACTTGGAGAATCCCTTTTGTGTGCGAGAGGGGCTTCCTGAGTCTGTCAGGACTCCCTGGGGCTGGCCCGACCTAAGTATCCACACTGCCTCCTTCACTTGCTGCCCTTGGATAGACTGGCACAGCACTCCCCGGCAGTGCTCTTTCCTACCCAGACCTTTCCACAGCTGCCAGCCTCACACAGCCTTTTAGGAAATCTCTTTACCTGTTATGCTCTGGCCTTCCAACCATCTTCTGTGCATTTTCTGACTCCGTTCTTGCTTTTCTCTTTTCCATCCCATTTTTACTAACCACAAAAATATTTTCATTCCTACCTTCAAATAAATAAAAAGGCCACCTGTACCTTCTGGCTTCTCCAACCCTCCCTAGGTCTCCTTCCTTCCTCTGTCTTGCTTTAGAAAGCACCCAGGCCTGAACCTCTTCTGGGAGCGGAACCTCTTTGTTGGAAAGGGCTCCCGCACAAATCCTGGGCTTCTGCAGCCCTCAGCACCATGTCAGGCATGCGTCGGGCCCTCACTTAAATCTGTCTGCACTTTAGGCACTTACCACTTTATTCAAACACTATCTTGATGATCTTGAAAAACAGAACCAAAGTAAACAGTAAAAAATGAGCCAAAAAGAAGCTAATGGGCTTCAGCATACACAGCCAGCCCTTCTCAACCCTGTGCCTAACTTTTCCTGACAGTCGGAAACTACTGGGTTAAAACTCCTTCCCGGGAGAACACCCCGAGAAAACTAGATTTGAATTTCCTGTGTGCTGGTTGGTGACTCTCGGGGACCATCTGATACAGCTACAAGGAGAGAGGTTGTGGAGTCTCCACATGCAGCCTGTAGATGGATCTCTCTGAGAATCAAAACTTCATAAAATGACAATGGACAATGTTTGCTTTTGGCCGAAAATCAATATGCTGACGAAATCCCTAACTCTCGTTTCATCTGAAACACAGCCAGTATCCCTGTCCATTTGCATGCTCAATTCCGTGGAGGAACAGGGAACAGATTGGACCCAGAACCTTCCAGCACAAGGAGCTGCCAAACAGACCCTGGCTCCATAGCTCACTCCCCTGCTCTTCTGGAGGCCAGGAGCTGTGCAGACCCCTGTCCCTGGGAGAGGAGTGAGTCTTTCCAAGCCGAGAGCCTTCAGGCTAATGAAGTGAACCCAATTATAAATGGCTCGTTATGGTAACAGAGGCCATGGTGTCTGGAAATTATTGCTGGGGTGTCTGGGATTCTTAATAAAAATTATAGGAAGTCTGACGGCTTGGGGGGAAATGTATGAAGCTTAGGGAGAACGAGCAATCCTTGGGAAAATCCCCAGAGCTAAGAGCTGATGCATCCTTACACAGTGTTACGCAGGAGGGCCACTGGGCCCCGGATCCTCCTCACACAGTGTTGCCTAGGATGGTCACTGGACCCTGGATCCCTGGGAACAGTCCCAGAGCTAAGAGCTGACACACCTTTACACAGCGTTACCAGGAGGGCCACTGGGCCCTGGATCCTCCTCACACAGTGTTACCCAGGTGGGCCACTGGGCCCTGGATCCTGCTCCCTAAAGTCTCTCCTTTCCTGTTGCCCCTAACTCTGTCTGGCTGACAAGCATACTTCCCAGAAAGCTATTTGTGAGAATGGAGGTGGGGCAGATGTCTTAGGTCACCATGGACCAGACCTCTGTCTCCAGTTCTTCCACCAGGCTCAGGGAGAGCACGGAACACATCCTCCAGAGATGCTGGTTCGCTCCCTACTACTGACCTTCCTCTACTCTCTTGTCTCACTGGGTTCTGTTGAGGTTGAAAGGGTAATGATGCATGTAGAGTATTTTGGATGACACCAAACACACAGCAAGAACGATACATATACTATTTTTCATTATTTCTATGACTTTATGATTTTAACTCTGTCTTAGCTATCATGATACTTGCTCTCACCATTCTTACTGACATTGGGGTCCTAGAGGCTAACACCATGGCTTTTCCACTTGCCAGCTACAAAACATGGCAAACCATTGATGCCTTCTGTGAACCAATTTCTTTTGTTATAAGGTTGGGGAGAAAGGTGCCTACCTATTAACACATCTTAGCCTAATTCCCAGTAGAAGAAATTCTGAGGAACTGACATCGAAGGTAATGGTTGACATTCTATAGCCAACCCTCTCTTCCTTGATTCATTTGGTGCATATCAAGCAGTAACCAGTGCTTGGATCTCTACACCTCCTCACTGAAACCAAAACTTGACATTGATTTGAAACACTACAAGTGGATGCCTTCCTTAAACTGTGGGCCCTGGTTATAAATGTCAGGGGATTTTAACAAAAGCCAACTCTCTTTAGGCTAGGAAGCCTTTCTCTTCCCATTCTTGGCTTTTATTTTCTGAGGTTCTATCATTTATATTACTTGATTATATGGGGGCTAGATCATTGTTATGGCTCTGGAAACAGCCCAAGTTCTGGGAATCTTGGTGTGAAACTGTGGCTGTCTCCTCCCACATCCATGGAGTTCTTCCTGCTTTCTTGTTTCACCAGAAGGTCAACAAGGCCAGTCAAGGCCTGAGCCAGCATCAGCCAATCAGATCAGGAAGATATGCAAAGAGTCCTACAGTCAGTACCAGTAGATTCCAGGCCTGGCCTCCTCATTATTAATAAAATCAGAGGGAGCCTTTGCCAACCAGGGCAAGCTCAAAGCTAGTTGAGTGAGCCAGCTAGTCCACCCGGGACTGGGGGGGGGGAAGAGAAAGAATGAAGTTCTGGGCAATGGGTAGAGCCCTATGCCCAGTGGGCCACCAAAACCTTCAGTGTACCCCAGGTTTTCCTCACTCAGGGGCCCCTGGGACAATTCTACGTGCCTACATAGACTGAGCCTTGAGAGAGCTATGCCCCACCCCATTTATTGTTTTGTTCCCCGCTCCACCAGCAAATGAGGGTGTTTTCTTCATGAGAATGCAATGCGCCTCTACACCCTCTTTTTAAAGGCCAGATGATCATGTCAACACTGGAAGGAAAATACAATGACCTATTCAAAAGCCATGGTTTCACAGGAGCTCTTTATACTGAGGTTAGAGGAGGCAGAAGGGAATGATCTGTTTAAAGTAAGAAACACCCATCAAGGAGCAGTACAGACAATAGACTATGGCGGTGGTCAGGAGAACTCTGCCGACGGAGCAGGCAGAGTCTCAAGCTAGACCACTGAGGAATCAAGGCTTCGTGGAATCACTGGCCTTACCTTGTATTTGGGGATGGTCTTCAGAAGTTCTTTCACTGGGACATCTGTGCCAACCACACCCAGAAGAATGCCCTTTGACCTCTGTAGAAAACAGACATTGAGAAGAATACAATAGATTACCGTCGGATGCCTTCTCTGAGACCACGAGCTCAGATCGCCACAGGCTTCTTCTTTGTTTCACCTTCCACTCAGATTATAGCTAGTCAACAAAGGAGCATCTCTGTTCTGATAGCAACACACCGTGCTCTTCTCATGTGTCCCTTCCTTCTGAAAACTGAGACGGGAGCTTGGGCGTTTCATGGGCAAGGACTCTGCTTGTAAAAGAGGTTAGAGCAAACCTTTCTGTAGGAGAGATACAATGGCGACTCTTTTCTGCCACATGCACCACCGTCTGACACTCACCAAGGAGACGCCTAATGGTCAAAGAGAGACACATTTTCTTTTAGCGGTCTTGTGGAACCAGGGACCCCATTTCCAGGGCAGGTGGCTACTGGGATTTGCTGGAACTTTCAGTAACAGAAAGGCCATCGGGAAGAGCATATGTATAGCTACTGTCTGTTGCTTTGTGGTCTTGTTTGCGGCGTGAATGGGGTTACAGCAAACCTCCGTTCACTCGTAACTTCAGAATCCAGTGCATTCGGAACATTGGGTCTTGGCAAATACCGTAGCTCAAGACCTTCTGAAGAGTCCTCTTTGATTCAGAGTGACACTTCAGCACAGTGACTGGTCTCTCTTTTTTAATTAGTTATTTATTTATTAAAGATTTCTGTCTCCTCCCCGCCACCGCCTCCCATTTCCCTCCCCCTCCTCCAATCAACTCCCCCTCTCTCATCAGCCCAAAGAGCAGTCAGGGTTCCCTGCCCTGTGGGAAGTCCAAGAACCTCCCATCTCCTTCCAGGTCTAGTAAGGTGAACATCCCACCAGCCTAGACTCCCACAAAGCCAGTACATGCAGTAGGATCAAAACCCAGTGCCATTGTTCTTGACTTCTCAGCAGTCCTCATTGTCCACTATGTTCAGCGAGTCCGGTTTTATACCATGCTTTTTCAGACCCATTCCAGCTGGCCTTGGTGAGTTCCCTATAGAACATCCCCATTGTCTCAGTGTGTGGGTGCACCCCTTGCGGTCCTGAGTTCCTTTCTCGTACTCTCTCTCTCTTTCTGCTCCTGATTTGTCGGTTTCTCAGGAAATTCGGGATCAACCTACCCCTGGACCCAGCAATACCACTCTTGGGAATATACCCAAGAGATGCCCTATCATACAACAAAAAGTATATGCTCAACTATGTTCATAGCAGCATTGTTTGTAATAGCCAGAACCTGGAAATAACCTAGATGCCCTTCAATGGAAGAATGGATGAAGAAAGTATGGAATATATACATATTAGAGTACTACTCAGCAGTAAAAAAACAAGGACTTCTTGAAGTTTGCAGGCAAATGGACGGAAATAGAAAACACTATCCTGAGTGAGGTAAGCCAGACCCAAAAAGATGAACATGGGATGTACTCACTCATAATTGGTTTCTAGCCATAAATAAAGGACATTGAGCCTATAATTCGTGATCCTAGAGAAGCTAAATAAGAAGGTGAACCCAAAGAAAAACATATAGTCATCCTCCTAGATATTAACTTTCATCAGGCGATGAAAGGAAACAGAGACAGAGTTCCACACTGGAGCACCAGACTGAAACCCCAAGGTGCAAATCAGGAGCAGAAAGTGACTGGTCTCTTTAGAAAGAGAGAAGACAGCAGGGCAGAGGGGCAACTACAAACGGTGGACCGATGTTGCCATGGGTCAAGGGATGTTGGGCTCCACAGTCAGAAATAACCAGGACATATTCTTCCCTTGTTTCTTTGGAGGCCCTCCGGTTCTGTCCACATCTTGATTTCACACTCTCAAGAGTCGAACTGTTTTGGAAAGCATCCCACTTTGTAGTGCTCTCGTGCCTTGCTCCAAGAAATTAAACGAAGATCGCCGAGGAGAGGTGTGCCCACAGTAATCAAGAGTTGTCTGCGAATTTTCCTCCTCGGATCACTGAGTATTTTAGAGAGGGACTACAGATGCTAAGAACTCTGCCCATCCCTCTCTTACATCCGGCTCACTAGCCCTCACAGTAAGGTGAGTTAAGAGGGAAAAACTCACACACAGTATCCTTGGGCAGAGAAAGAAGCCACCAGAGAGCTTACAAAGCATAGATGCAGATATCCAAGAAACAGCCCTCCCAGAGCCAGGTTGGAGGCAGGGCAGATACTCACGGTTTCATTTTGCTTACTAAACACAGGCATGGCCACTGTGGTCATCAGCACGAGGCCTTGGTCATCAGCCAGCTGGGGGAGAGAGGGAAGGCGGTTACTGGGTGTGCCATGGACGCCTCAGTGCAGAAGCCTCCTGTTGACCTTCGTCCCTTCTAGCCAAAGGCTACTGGGAAAGAGTCCTTGGGACCCTTTGGTGGGGGGGGGGGCACAGAATCTCTCTACCTGCTCTGCAGGCTGACAGTCCCAAGCCCCAGCTGGAACCCATGCGCCAGTCACTGCAGCTGATATCTTCCTGTTCCGCTACTTTGCATCAGATGAGCCCCATTTGGATTTCAGGGGTTTGTTTTATTCCAACATAGCAACTTCACTGCCCGACTCCCCAGGCATTCGTGCCCAGTGGGTGTTCTAATGACACTTCCAATAACGCGGGATCAGAAACGTCAGACATCAGTGGTCTCATAAAGTGTTCTTAGGGGGTGGGGAAACGGAACCCAGAAGCTCCTACTCTTCCCAAGGCAGGCAGGCCCGTCAAGCCCCTTCACCTCTTCAGACCCCTGAATGCTAGTCTCAAATGGAAAGCACAGGAACGAAAAGATAGCTTTAGCGTAAGACTCTGGAAATCGCCACGAGGAAGCTAATTGCTGCTTCTGAAGGAACTGCTCCTGAAACGGGATGCAAGCCGGCCGGGTTTCCAGCTGCATCAGACACTTTGAGACCTCTGGGTACATCTGCTTCTCATCCCGTGCTGGGAGGCACACAGGCAAGAACAGCTCTGCTGTCCCAGGAACAAGGGAGGAAACCGTCTCAGAGCCCAGTAGCAGGCTCTGGTTCGAGACAAACCTAGCTCTGACTCTCAGCTTTGAGTCTCTTAGCTGCACAGTCAGGCCGTGCAGCTAAGAGACTCAATGAGCAAAATCACGCTCATTACCATCACTGTGAGGATAAGACGGAACAGGACCCAGCGAGGGTCCTCTGGGAACAGAGGCGCTCCAGGGGCGCTGGATTCCTTTCTCTGCCCTAGGGTCATACAGCAAGTACGTGGCAGGGTTGCACAAAATTAAAAGAGAGCAAAGACATGCGTCACAGTTGCTTGTGCAAGTCAGATGGGAGAGATCCTTTCTGTTTCGCATCTTCCTTGAGCACCCAGTGTGGAGCACTCCGAGGCCTGGGCTCCACCATCCTTAGTTCATAGCAGTGGTTGGTGTTTTTCTCACTTGTCCATGGCTGTAGCCATGCAGTAATTAGGTGCTCTTCCATCCTGCTTCTCTCTTAGAAAGAGGCCACCTAAGAAGACAATTCTAGAATCGAAGTGATTGACAGCCACACAGTGTTTTAGTCTTTTAGGCAAAAGTCATTGAATTCAGCCTTAGTTCATTTTTTCTTCTGTTGTTTTTGTTTGTTTGTTTTGTTTTGAGAAAGGGCCTTCTATAGCCCAGGCTGTACTTAAACTCCTGATCCATTTGCCTTTACTTACCAAGTACTGGCGTTACTGGTTTTTACCACAACACCGCACTTCCACACTTAGTCAGTACTCAGCAAGTTACATACGTATCATGTCTACTGTTGACATCGCTGCTTCCAGTGTGATGCCCAAGACAACAGCGCTTCAGAGCTTGTCATAAATGCAAAACTTCAGGCACCATTCTAGGGTTTCTAGATAGGAATCCTTATATTGATAATCAGTGTACATGAAGCCAAGGAATATTGTTACAGGGGCATCTTTCCCACCTCACCCCATTAACAATCTCAAGAGCAGTAGAAAATACCCGGCAGAAATGCAGGGAACATGCTAATCTTGCATCTACTTAGAAATAAGCTGTGATCTTCTGTGGAAAAGGAGATAAAAGTGTCATGGTCTTTAAGAATCAAAAAATCTGTGGTATCTTCCTGGCTAGCTGAGTGTCTACTTGTTTGCTCAAGTGCTATTCTGGATGACGGCTGAGAAAATCTATAACTCTGATTCAACAGGCAGACTATGAATACAGCAGATACAATTTGGTGGCCTTCATACAAGCAGGTTTTAAGAGAATAGACACACTGTGCAAGGAAGAAGGAATTCTCTTTTCAATTTGACTTTGAACTCAACATTGAAACATCAACCCTTCCTGAAATTTCCAATTCACCAATCTGCTTCACAGGTTCGGATTTATTAGAATTTATATTCTTTAATATAAAACACTCTTCAAATAAAAGTCTATGTATATGTATATATTTATATGCTCACATGCACACACACGTAGGCTGTCTTTATATGCTTATATACACATACACATGCTTTCTCTATATAGGCTTTCTTACTGTCCTGTCTCTTCCAAGACTTCTGACTAATCGTCATATTACTGTTACCCAATTAACTTGCTGGGCATTAAAATAAGTAAAAAAAATCCTTTAATATTTATAAGCAAATTGTACTAGCTCGAGACAATGTTGACAGCTTTTGTTGTGCCAAGAATCAAGTCAGCCAGTGTATGCAGTATCGTAATTGTTTATGGAAACATAGTTTCAACTTCTACTAAAAATACTTGAAGTATACCATGGTGGCTGGTGGAGGCTGAAAGGCCGACCCAGTCCACAGTAAGGAGCTCCCTTAGCATCAGAAATTCCATTTCCCAGCGCCTTGATTAATCCTTGCTGCTATACAGAAAAACCAATTTGAGCTGATCCATAACCCTGGGTAATTTCCACTTTGCAACTCAAATCCAAATTTCAGGCCATGCCAACATGGATCACGACGAAACCAAAACACACCACTGGCAGTCCTGAGAAATGATGCTTTCCCTCTGCAACCAGTAAGAGCCAGTTATAAATCGCTGGTGATTGTCCTGGCACAAATGCAGGACCAGGGGAAATGGCCTTCCACATGTTAAGCCAGAGTGTAGTGTCAGCTTCACCCAGGGGAAAAATAAATAAATAAAAATAATCCTTATCCTATTGCATTTGTACTAAAACCAGTCATTTGTAACCAGCCTCAGGTGTTAAACAAAAGAAATTCAGTAAGTCCAGGCAGGCCAGGGTTCACGTGTGGGACTATAATCTTGTGTACTCTTCTGCTAAGGGTTATGGCCAGAGTTCCAACCTGCAGGCTTCCTGTGGAACCCAAATCCGCTTAGGGCCGTGAGAATGAGCAGGAACCCAGAAACAGCACGTGTACAATACTGTGACCCTCACCTGCCCTCCATCAGTCCTATCTCCCCAGTTTGGCCTCTGTGCCTCCGCAGCATCCCATGGAGGAGAAAATCAATCGGAAGGTTTGTTTGCACCACACGTACTTTATGACCAAAAGGCAATCTGTGCGCCTGTCCCAGGAAACAGCAGCCGGGGGCAAGAGGTTTTCATCCAGACCTCAAAGCAGAAATTATGCAGCCAACCACGGTCAGAAGCGTCTGTCTCCGACTCACTAGGGGTTGCTGGCTTTTCTGCGGCCTCCAACCTGTAGCTGCTGCTGAGGGAACACCAGGGCCTAAGATTCATACTTAAGGCTTCCAAGAAAAACGCAGACACAGAATCAACATTCATTTTCCAAGGCATAGAAGTAGAAGATGGGGGTCACCATGATCCATCTGGGCAAAATCCCATTAAGTCCAAGCAGGAATCCTAAAGTGAACTGCTGTTCAGTTACACTTGTCCAGGCTTTGAACGGCCCCTGAACTGCTTGCCTATGGTGTTCTCTTGTGTAATAAGTGTATATTATTTCATATCCTTCATTTCCTATGCTACATAATGGGGACCGTTCTGGTATCAAAGGAAATGATGGCTAGTAATGCCGAACATCTGGTTTATAAAACACAAACTTGCTCAACAGATTGACTGCTTCCTGTCAGCTCCCGACTTAGCCATGCGTGTATCTCTAGGAGTGCGCGCTTAGATTCATGTGTGAGGTCTGTGCTGCTGTGCCAGGCCTCTAGTCCTGGTGCTTTGTGAGCTTCCGTGGGGAGCACGGGGCAGGACTGTGGTCCGTCCCTAGGGTGTGGCCCAATAGCATAAGACAACCAGATCCCCAGCTCACTGCTGGCCTTCTCAGCGCCAGTCACTGTTTTCCTTCAGAACTTCTTTAGGCCTCGGCTGTATGCCAAGTTCTTTGTCGTGTGCTAGGAAGAGAACTGGGGACAAGACTGGGGTGTCTCCCCTCTAGGAACCCCGGGTGCACTTAGGCAGACAGAAAAAACTAATGAGGCAGAGGGAGAAGGTCTAGTAGGGGCTGGCATGCTGGGTCTCCCAGAGTGAGAGAAGAGGCCAGTCATCTTCTGTTCTAGCCTGGTTTTGAGTGGGCACCTTGTATTTATTGGAATATACAGAACGCCTCCTGAAAGCCGGCTTAACAAGCAGAAAGCAGTCAGCCCCCTGCCTCGCTCCAATTCTTCCGTAGTAAATTATTGATAAGTGAAACAGTACCAGGGAAGAAGTTTGGAACCTTCTGGACACTTTCCTTCTTTCCCACAGACCTCACTGCATCTCCTTCCTTAGATAAATCCTTTTGCCCTCCAGCCACAAGGTTTCCCGGCCCCCCCACCCTGCTCATATGGCGAGGTAGCCAATCAGACAGTTTCTTGTGTGTACGCATATGCTATGTCAGCCATGAGGTTAGCTTATAATTAGGCACAAGCTTTGATCTGGATTCTCTGGGATATCTCAAGCTGGGGCAAAGATGATCTTTCTGGTGGGTGGTTATAAGACCCCAAGTTTGGCACTCATGTCCCCTCATCCTACGTTGAAAATTAGACAAAAAAAAAAAAACACCCAGAGAGAAGGAAAGGAACATGGAAGAGAGGAAGGGCAGGAGGGAGAGAGAAAGGAGAGGAGAGAAGGGGAGGGGGAGTGCCAGACAGGGAGGGAATACTCAAGGGATTAAGTGGGAAGGGAAGAGGAAGAACTCTGCTCTAGATGGCTTTGTCCCTGGCGACTGCTCTACAATGGGATGTTGTCATTAGGATTTTATGAAAACAGCTTCATGATGAACAAGAGCTTGGCTGCTTTGAGATCTCCAGTAAGAAGAAGCAATCTCGGGAGTCTCCTCTGGCCAAGCAGCACAGGGAGGCAAGAATCTGCAAGGGAAGAGGGCAGGCCTGGAGTGG